AGCCAGCCTGCATCCTGCAGGGACATGAGACACAGCAGGGGCTCCTACCTTACAATCCTCAGGACACGATTTCACCGAGTACTCATCCGACTGTAAATATTTCTGGAGCATAACCTCAAACTCTTCGTATTTCTCCTGAGCGTGCTGGTCGTAGCGCTGGTAAGCCTGGACGCACTGGCTGCAGGAGCCTTCCCCCTCCAGCACCACATCCAGACTGCAGTTCAAAGTGTCCGGATTGGACAACCCGGCGAACAACTCCCAAAGGGTGTAGGAATTACAAAAGGAAAGGTAAAAATCCGTGAGGTCCCAGCCGGGCGCCGGGCTCCGCGGCCCCCCCCGCCGCCCGCACACCGCCTCCGCGTCGCCCACGCTGAAGCACTGCCCGGACGAGGCGCTCTGCGGGTGGCAGCTCTCCACGGGCCTGGCACTGGAGTTGCCCAGGAAAACAGCCTTGCCGTGGCGGGGCTCGCTCTCCTTGCCCTGGCCGCTGCTGCTGCTGCTGCTGCTGCTGCTGGGGGAGGGCGGGAGGGAGGGCGAGGGGGGAGCGAGGAGCCGGGGCGCGGGGGGCGCCGGCTCCCCCATGCCCGCCAGCAGCTCCTGCTCCGCGGGCTCCGGCTTCTCGGGCGGCTGCTGCTGCTCCTTGTCTCCGGTGCCCGTGAATTTGGCCTCGGCGCAGAACCACAAGTGATCAGAGAGCAGGACGGTGAAAAACAAGAGCGATGCCAGGGACAGTCGCCATTTCTGAGCCCTCTCCGAATCCGTGAAGGGTTTCTCGTTCTCCCGGGGTGCAAACCAGATTTTTAAGCCGTCGTCATACTGCCGACTGCACATCCAAGCACCCCTGGTCATATTTTGGGAACGCACAGTCCTGGCCGACTCCACCGTGAGGGCTCCTTTGCCAGTGTCACCACAATATGCATTGACTTAGAAGATTAAGGGGATTTTCTTGCCTTCTTCCTTCCCTTCTCTCCTCTCGCTCGCTCGCTCCTTCTTCCACTCTCCCCCTCTCTCTCTTTCCCCGTCTTCTTTCCGCTTCTTTTTCTTGCTCTGAGATGTCGCTGGGTTTCGCCGGTGGCTCTGCCTTGGTCTCACCACACGAAGCAGCCCCAATCCATCCAGCACGGAGTGCCGTGGAGAAGATAAGAGCAATAACGCAGAGAGAGGAGGAGGGAGAGGAGATGGTGGTGGTAGTGGTGCTAGTTGGTGGCGGTGGGGCTGCTCGGCGGGTCCTTTCCCCCTCTCACCCAGGCATGGTCAGATCGCAGCTCCCCATCTCCCTCCCGAGAAAAGCCCGCTGCCTCTGGACAGCTGCATGCCGCGTCTCCCGCT